GGGTGAGAGCTCTCTACACATTTTTCCCCAAATACGTAAGTTTTCCAATTTAAAAGATCCTATCACACATCCATTGATGAGTGGGATTTTACATTATTCTCAATGGTGATTGAAACCAATAACCCTTTTTATGGCTTATCCACAGATGCAAGAGGCATCTCAAGAGTGCAATCGAAGGAGCTCTCACATGATCAGAAAGTTCACTCCCAGAGTTAACCTAAGAAAGCAGAAAACTTTATGTCATAGGTAGTAAGAATGGTTTACTGAAAAGGGTATCTCTGATTTACCAGAAGAATGTGAGGGTACCTTTAGTCATAGATCTACTAATCTGTGACACTGGGCAAGAGCTACTGGAATGAGACCTATACTATATTAACAAGACAATGAAGGTTGAGATAACAAAGGCCCTTTGTGGATTGGGACCACTTACAAACTCTCTTGAGAGAAGGCACTGTTAGACAAGGAGATTGCTGTCTTGGATTCCTAGCCTAGTTAACTAGCCACCATATGCAAGTCAGTACTTACACCTTCTGGATGGTAAAGAAGAGAATATTTCCACTGGTCACAAAGCCAAATACAAGATGACAGAAATCATAGAACATAAAACGATGACAAGAAAACCTCACCTGGGTTTGACATAGGGGGCCCACAGTAAAATTTGTCTAACAGATGCCAGTCTGATGAGAATGGTGAACTTACCAGACTATGAGGCTGGTTGGAACAAGATTATAGAACTTATGCCTCCCTTCCACTGTGTGGTTTCACTCCTTACGCTAGAGTAGAAAAGAAAACCACCACCACCTCTGAAAGGAAACAGATCAACAGAAGACAAGAATATTCATACCAAATCCTGACCAGAGTCACTATGCCTAAGGAACTAGTTCACACAAATATTTTCTCCAACTGATCTAAACTTAGAAAAATAAAAGAACACACACCACTCTTGATTCTACCACAGCCAGAGATCTGGGAAAATATGTGGTAAGAATTCTTACCTTCTCCTGGTTCCTGTCAGAGAACTCAGGATCTCTCAGCTGCAGCAATCCCAGAGCAAGCAATATCCAGCCAGTGGAGAGCTCCACGTTGGGTGCCAAAACTGAAGGAGCAGGAAACATTTCCCTTCTCTTTTAGGTTCTTTAGCTGGGCTAATAATTAAATTGACATAAGACAAATTAGCAGGAAAAAAATTAATTTCATATATATGGGAGCCCCATAAAAACATGAGACTCAAAGAAGCAAAGTAGACAGCTTTTATACTTTTTACTTATTTTTGCGCTCCAAGTTAATGTTTTTTTAAATTTTTTTTTAACTTTTATTTTTTACATCATTATTCATTTTTAAACAGTATTTGCTTCCCTCCACTCCCTCAGTTGTAGTCCCCATAGTTTCCTTCACCAATGCACCCGTGCACCATCACCTCAGTCCTCTGTGCTCCTCCCTCCCTCCCACTGATCCCTCTCCCGCCTCCTCCCCTGCAGTATGTCTCTGATTTATAACTGTCCGTTTTTGCTTTGTTGTATTTTGTACTGTTATTATTTTTTTTTACACTGATGTCTTATTTGGTTCCACTATATTCCTGATACAAGTGAAACCATCTGATATTTTTCTCTTTCCTTCTGTCTTATTTCACTGAGCATAATTTCTTCTAGTCCATCCATGTTGCTGCGAATGGCATGAGTTTATCTTTTTTGATTGCTGAATAATATTGCATTGTGTATATATGCCATATCTTCTTGATCCAGTCATCTATTTTTGGGCATTTGGGTTGTTTCCAGGTTTTACCTATTGTAAACAGTGCTGCAATAAACATAGGTGTACAGGTGTTCTTTTGAATCAATGTTTTTGCATCCTTTGGGTAGATCCCTACTAGTGTTCAACATCCCTTATAATCAGGGAAATGCAAATTAAAACCACATTGAGATACCACCTTACACCAGTTAAGAATGGACATATCAAAAAAACAAGCAACAACAAATGTTGGTGAGGATGTGGTGAAAATGGAACTCTCCTGCATTGCTGGTGGGAGTGCAAACTGGTCCAACCACTACGGAAAGCTGTCTGGAGGTTCCTCAGTCTACTAAAGAAAAGATTTTATACTTTTTAAACAAAGAAACAATACATCTGTGAAGAATGAACAAGATAAAGAGGTTTGGGCTTTCTCTATCTTCTTAACATTATGAGAATATTTTATAGTTTAAATGAGAAATAATCAACATACATTACTGTATAAGTTTGAGGTGCATGACATGATGATTTTATTTACATATATTGTGAAATGGTTACAAGTTTCAGTTAACATCCATCTTCTCACAGACTAAAAAGGAAAAAAAGGGAAAAAATTCTTCAGTGATGACAACTCTGAGAATTTACTCTTTAGACTACTTTTCCATACATCAGTCAGTCATGTTAGCTATTTTTACCATATTGGATATCATATCCTTAGTAGTTATTTATTGTATAGCTGGTAATTAATACCTTTTGACTACTTTCCTCCAATTCCCCCTATTCCCGCTCTTCACCTGGTATCCTCAGGTCTAATCTCTTTTTTTATGAGTTTGTTTTTTTTTTTTTAATTCTACATAAAATGACATCATACAGTATTTGTCTTTGTCTGACTTGTGCTTAGCATGCCTTCAGGAGGCATCCATACTGTTTTCCATAGTGATTGTACCAATTAATAATCCCACCAATAGTGCACAAGTTTTCCTTTTTTTCCACATGCTTGCCAGCATTTGTTATCTAGTCTTTTTGATGATGGCCATTCTAACAGATGTGAAGTGATATCTCATAGTAGTCTCCCTAATGACTAGTGATGTTGAGCATCTTTTCATGTACCTGTTGGCCTTTTGCATAACTTCATTGGAAAAATGTCTATTCAGGACCTTTGCCCATTTTTAAATCGGACTGTTATTTTGATATTGAGTTATATGAACTCTTCATATAGTTTGAATATTAACCACTTATCAGACATATGATTTGCAATTTTTGCCATTCTATTGGTTGCCTTTTCTCTTTGTTGATCATTTCTTTTCCTTTTTAGTTTGATATAGTCCCACTCGTTTCTTTAAGTGCTTATGCTTTAGGTTCCACATACAAAAAGAAAAAAATCATTACCAAGTCCATGTCAAGGAGTTTTATTCCTATGTTGCTCCTAAGAGTTTCATGGCTTCAGGTCTCACATTTGAAGTCCTTAATCTACTTTGAGTTAATGTTTTTGAGTGGTATATGACAGGATCCCAGTTTCATTTTTTACATGTGACTACCCAATTACCCCAGAGACTGCCTTTTCTACACTTAGTATTCTTGGTTCCCTTGTCAAATATAAGTTGACCTATATGCTTTCATTTATTTCTGGGCTCTCCATTCTGTTCCATTGGTTACTTGCCTGTTTTTATGCCAGCACTATACTATTTTAGTGACTACAGCTATATAACGTAGTTTGAAATCAGAAAAGTATGACACCTCTTCCTTTCTTCTTTTTTCTCAGAAGCTGACTATTCAGTGTCTTTTGTGGTTCCATATAAATTTTAGGAGTGTTTTTCAACTTCTGTAAATATGCCATTAGAATATTGATGGAGATCAGATTTAAGTAGAGATGGCTTTCTGTAGTAGTCACATTTTAACAAAATTAATTCTTCCAATGCATGAATTGGGATACCTTTCCATTTATGTGTCTTATACAATTTCTTTCTACAATGCTTATAGTTTTCAGCATACAGATTTTTCACCTCTTTACTTAAATTTATTCCTAAGTGTTTTATTGTTTTCGATGCTATTGTAAGTGGGATAAATTTATTTCTTTTTCAGAAATTCTGCTTTTAGTGTATAGAAATGCTACTGATTTTTCCTGTTAATTTTAATTTTGTATCCTGCATTTTTATGGGATTCATTGATTAGACTTAATTTTTTCTTTTCTTTTTTTGGTTGACTCTAGGATTTTGTCTATATAAAAACATGTCATCTGAAAATAGGGATAATTTTACTTCTCCCTTTCCCATTCTAATCCTTTTATTTCTTTTTCAATAAATTGTGAAGAACTGACAAAAGAGGTTTAGGTTTAGTAAGTTAATGAAGTAGCAAGATTTATTTATATAGCTATCTCAGATCTAAATTCCCTGTTTTTGGTGGTAAGGATGCCTTCTACCGTCCTGGTAAGGGGGTGGTTACCTTTCATAAGGGTGATTTATTTCCTGCTTTTAGGGAGACAAAAGGTCAGTGTCTTGCCAGCACTGGCTGTTTCGAGTAACTTTAATTCAAAATAATCAATACGCAAATATGGCATTTTTTTCGTGGTTACACATTCTGCTGTTTCACCTGGTTTCCACTGCTGCCCCACATGCAGCTTCATAGCCTTCTCCACACTAGCAGTACCAGCAATCTTCTCTCAGTCCTGCCCATTTGTGGGTTTTGATGGACCCTGGGCTTACGCCCTATTTACAAACCTAACCAGGATCCCGTAAACCCGCTTCAACTCTTCATCCACAAGTTTTCTTATCTCCTGTGACCCACCCTTCCTGCCAGGCCAGGTGAGTGTGTGGCAGGGAAATCGGGAGGTAGCGAAGGTCACAAGCCCCATCCTGGGTACTGCTGCCAGCATCTCCAAAAGATCCGCGTTCTTCCTCCCGGTATGGGCTTACTGCGGTACCCAGCGCTGCCATCCAGTCTGCCCGCCCTGTAGGTGCCGCTGTGCCAGGCAAGTGTTGGTCCCAAGAGGCCATGCGGCGTGACTCAGCATTCGTCTCTGTGACTTACCACGCCGACGTAGGTTGCTAGGAGTGAGCGGCATGGTGAAGCCAGCTATCGCCTTTGTTCTTCCTTTTTGAGGAAAAGAAAGGAGGGAGGACGGCAAACGAGCAGGCGGCCAGGACTGGGCAAGGACTGAAGTAGGACGAGCAGGGAGGTGAGGCTGATCCGTGAGCAGACGAGCTCTGAGCAGCAGCGGCCGGGACAGGTTCGCTCGGGAGGCGCTCGATCGGTCGATTGACTAGGCCGTAGCAGCCATGGCTGTGGAATATGGGGACCAAGCCAGTGGGTTCCGCCACGTTGAGGTGATCAGGTTCATTAACAACGAAGTCCTCATGAATGGGGGCGGCCCGGATTTCTACCAGGCTTTTCGTTCACGGCCCTGGAATGAAATAGAAGATCGACTGCGGGCGGCGGTGGTCAACCCGCAGGTGCCGCGCACCCTCAAGAGGTCCTGCGCCTGGAGCGCGCTGGCCTTGAGCGTGCGCGTGGGCGCCAGGCAGCGCGAGCAGCAGGCGTGCAGGATCCAGCAGCTGCAGCAACAGGTAGAAGAGCTCCAGGCGACTTCCTGGGCTCTGGCCACGGAGCTGCAATGGCTACGAGAGGAGCGCCAGGATATGGCCGCTCGGCTGCGCTTCTTGCGGGCCACCCTGCAGCAGGTGCTGAATGAGCGCAATGTTTTATACTGGCGACTGCTCCAGGCCGAGAGGTTGGCACATGCCAACCCACAGCTTCAGCTGGTCATGCCTGAGCAGGGAGTGGAACAGTTTAAGGCTGCAGCTTGGCCTCCGACCGTAGAGGAGCAGGGCAAGATGGTGGCTCTAGGGCCTCACGGCGTGCCGCAGCATGCTGATTCCCAGATGGCAGCCTCGCCGAATGTGCTATACATGCCCAGACCCCAGGGTCCTTGGGCCCAGGCTGGGCCATCTTCTCTGCAAATGCCTGTGCCACCTCCATTCCCATTCCAGGCGCCATTCCCAGGAGTCCCATACTCCACACCTCTACCCTCAGGAGTCATGGAATCAGAAGGAGCAGCAGCTGCTGCCCCTTCACCTCAGATGCCTCCCCTGGGGATGTACCCACTTAGCCTGTGTGCTCCAGTTAGCAGCCAGGGGATGGCGCTGCAGTATGACGAAGGGGCCTATGGCCAGGAGAAATATTCTGAGAACCTCCAGGCCTGTTCCTCTGGCCAGGAGAAATATTCTGAGAACCTCCAGGAAGCCTGTTCCTATAGCCAGGAGAAATATTCTGAGAACCTCCAGGAAGCCTGTTCCTATACCCAGGAGAAATATTCTGAGAACCTCCAGGAAGCCTGTTCCTATAGCCACGAGAAATATTCTGAGAACCTCCAGGAAGCCTGTTCCTATACCCAGGAGAAATATTCTGAGAACCTCCAGGAAGCCTGTTCCTGTAGCCACGAGAAATATTCTGAGAACCTCCAGGAAGCCTGTTCCTATAGCCAGGAGAAATATTCTGAGAACCTCCAGGAAGCCTGTTCCTATAGCCACGAGAAATATTCTGAGAACCTCCAGGAAGCCTGTTCCTATAGCCACGAGAAATATTCTGAGAACCTCCAGGAAGCCTGTTCCTATAGCCACGAGAAATATTCTGAGAACCTCCAGGAGGCCTGTTCCCTGGAGGGCAGCAGCTTTTACCAAGAGGAAGGTTGTGTGTGTCCCCCCGGGGTGGAGGACACCAAGAATCACACTGAGGAAGATCAGCCCAAGCTCCAGGGGACAGACCTCCCTGGAGGCAGCAGGAGTCAAAGTCAGAAGAAATGTCCAGTGATGCCCCAGGAGAGGAATCCTTTGGGGAACAGCAAGAGCCACAGGCAAGAAGAAGGTCCAAAGAAGCCCCAGGAGATATCCCCCCAGGAGGGCAGTAAGAGCCCTGATGAGAGAAAAAGCCCAAAGCAACAACGGTCTCCAGGGCAGAAAGCGAAGCAACCAAAAGTGAAAAAAGCCCCAGATTCCCAGCCTGGTGAGAAGCCTGCCACAGACGGCCATCCGGTGGATTGGGGCTGCCCATGGTGTAAGGCCTGGAATTTTTCATGGCGCAAAGCCTGCTACAAATGCAAGAAAACCTATACAGCAGCTGAGAGTGGAGAGCTGGGGCCAGGACAACCTCTCTGATCTCAGAAAGGTAAGTAAGATGGAAATACTTCAATGAGAGAGCCATTTCTTAAACCACCCCCCTTCTTAGCTATTCATTTACTTTACAGAAAATTTGAAATCAGAACTAACATAGAGAAAATTAAATGAAATAACCCATTATCCCATTACTCAACTTTATAGCATTGTGGGTACACATGCACAAATATATATATCAGATATAATTATATATCATATATAATTTATATAATTCATATATAGTCATATATAGTCATATATAATTTATGTCATATATATATCATCTATAATTTTTTTTTCACTTGCTTGAACTTAAAAAGGCCCTGCTTTTGAGTATCACCTTCACACTTTAAATACAGGATTTACTCCTAATTACATTTACTTTCACAGATGGTGGATCCTTGATGGCTGATGCTCGTTGGCTGGTACCCTGGAGAAGCTGAGGTCATGAAGAGTTTGTTTGAAAGCTGTTTTCTTATTAACCACCTTTTCTTGAAAATGCCATGTCTTTGGCTGGGAACAGCCACATATTATTAAGAATTATAAGCTTTATTGAATTTTAGAAGCATCGCTTTTACTTGAAAATGCTGTTGTCCTTTTGTAAACTACGGCATTATTCATGCTTGCCTCGTGTGTGTTTTTTAAAGTTTTACAGATGAGGGCCTGTTTTTATGTCTCTGGGCCCCACACAACTTGTTGCTGAAAAGCTGAACCTGTCCCATTAGAAGATCCCTCAAGAGCCTAAAGAAATCACAGCCTAGTTCTGACTGAGCCACACCTTAGTGAGAGCCCTTTTTCCCCCACACCCCAACCCCCAAGTCTGGAGCTAAGAAGAGTGAGAGAAAGTCAGGGAAGAAGAGATGCTTTGGCATGCATTGGGGGAAAGGAAGGGCAAAGTAATTTTCTTAGAATTTAATTTCTCAGTTGGGACAACAAATTAATTTGAAAGTGTTGAGGGTTACAGTGTTAAATTCTATAGATGACAGCAAATTGACAAATTTCATTTAATTCGTTAAACATGATTATTGCTTGCCTGGTATTTGTTCGGAGCTAGAACTTATGACATTATCTGGTACACACTATAACTCTTTTTGGCAAGCTTGGTTAGATGACAGGAGAAAACATAATTTGAGATTAAAAAATAGACCAGAGGTGACTTCTTTGCCTCCCATGTAGCGTGACTTTCTGGTACACCCAACTGAAATAGCACCCAGTTATTTTTATAGTTCTGGGAGTAACATGAAGGAAGTGAAAGAACTTGAGTTGCCAAACTGCTCATCTCACTGGTCCCAGTTGAGACAAATTTAGCAGTGGATAATACAGGGGAAGTTGCCTCAAGAAGGTGCAGGCAGGCAGGACTTCTCTGATAGTCTGCTGATTTTTCTCCCTTGGGAGAGAAAGCTGTTGACTGCAAGACTGCTAGTTTTTTGTTTTGTTTTGTTTTTGTTTTTTTTAAAGGCTATTATTTGGGGCCAAAGGGAGGAGTATTGGCTACACACTTAAGCCTCAGACAATGACCATCCCAAGTCCCTTTCCAGTCAAGAGTGGAGAACAAAATGGATTCTGGGGACGGACATCCTGCTCTGGATGGTGCTTCTTTTTTGGGAGGGCTAATCGCCTTAAAACCAGAACAGGACTAATTGGATTAAAAATAGAGTTGGACTAATTGGATTAAAATAGAATTGGGCTGCAACTATACTCTTGAGACTGCCCCCTGGGCCCCTTCTTTTTTCTTTTCCACTTGGTGTGTTCTCTGTCCCCCCCCCACCCCCACCCCTGGAGGGGTGGACATTAGATCTATCTCCAGTTTGAACAAAAGATGTCCTAGGTTTCCCCATGAGATCTGTCCTGTTCACCAAACTCAACCTTTGTCGGGGTTTTTCTGATTCTAACTAGTAATAAAGCGTGTGTACTTGCCTGCTGTGTCTTCTGTGTAGTATCTTGGGATGGGGCTGCGCAGAGGTAGCAACTGAAATCTACATCATTGTCTCTGGCAGTGAGGAAAACGGAAGTTCAATCTCATTTACTATTAAAGGACCCTCCTCTTTTCAGCAGTTTCCTAAGAATGGGAGGTGGGGAGGGGCTTCTATGTGGTTTTCAATCCATTGTGATTGTCCCTGGTACTCTCACTAAATTCACATGGCCCCTTGAAGGTGGACATGTCTGCTTCTCCAGGGTCAGTGGGGGTTAGAGGTGTCTGCCAACGCTGGAAGGCCTGATGACTAGGACCCAGCCTGCTTATACGTACTACAGAGCCATTCCCCTCTGGGGCCCTGCCTTCTTCCTGAGATGCTGGCAGGGACAAAAGAGTGATTATACTCCTTCCTTTTTCTCTGTTCTCTAAATCACTCCTCTGCTTTCTGCCTTACCATAATTCAATCAAGATTGCCAGGATCATCGAAAACCAAGTGAAGGCTGGCAGTATAAACCTCCCTTAAGAAAGGACAAAGGTCTGATAACCTTTTGGAATGGGTATAGTGAGATGAGGCGTGGACAACAAAAATGATCCTGTTGTACCAGAGATCTCTTCTCTCAGAGATATGACTGATAGTGAGGATCTTGGTTACCTGGAATAGGAATACAGAAAAAGAAGAGAGCTCTCAGAAAGAAAACTATTGTGATATTGTAGATTTTAACAGCCCTTGTACATGTGGAAAGATGGAAATGTAGGTATTTTTCCTGCTGGGTCTAAATTTGGTGCTGGTGCTATGGAAGGAATTATTGGAAATGGTGGTAGAAGAAAAGAAGGAATCAGGCCTGGCAACAACTACCATTATTGATTAGGGTTAGGGCCTGAAACTGCTGCTTTGCAGGCACTTATGAAGATACTGGAGATGAAGAATATGGGTATTTCTCTGATTAATAGAGCACAGGTGAGGTGCATGGGAAGAGGCTTTTGAGAGTCAATGAGAGCTTCAGGGAAAGGTAAAATTCTGCATGCAGGAAATGGAGTATCATAGCAACATACTCCATTCCACCTCCTCACCCACTCCTTCATTTCATAACCCCCTAATGGCCGTACATAGCAGCAGAACCTTTAAACTCACATTCCAATTTCCACACTAAATATACCACCTCTCATTAACCCTTCCACTCCCACCAGCAAAATGAGAATCACAAAGCAGCTTAAGAGCACTTTCTGTGGGGGCACCTGCAGATCGCAAATCATCAGGGGAGGGGCGTGGAAAAAGTTTGTCTGGCAGGCAAGAGGAGGCCCAGCCTTGGTGTCAGAAGGGACAGAAACAAAGTGTTCAGCATTCCGCAAGATTCCCTTAAGATGTGAGAACTGTGTCTGGTAAAGAATAAGGGATTAGAATGGCAAAACTGGAATAAAAATATTTCTCTGATAAAACCACGCTTCAAGTGATGGAGATGTCTGATCCTGGACAACAGTCAAAGCTTTTATTTATAATGGGGCTAGTCCTGTTTGATTTCAGAAATGATGAGAGAACCAAGGATGTTGAAAACAGAAATCAATGTTCTGAGTATGTCTCTTATTATAAATGTAACTTAATTTCACTTTAGAAAAATCAGAAAACAGGAAAAAATATTCAACCACAATCCCACTCCTTAAAGTACCACTGTTATATTTTTATGTATTTAATTCCATATTTATACACACCGAGATAGGTATGATTGATTTTTCTTTCAAAATCACCTTACATGGGGTTGTACATGTTTTATCGCCTTATTTTTAATCGTGGTTAAAAAAAGAGATCTATACTCCTAACAAATTTTAACTGTAAACTTTATTGTTAATATAAGCAGGTCTCCCAAACTTTTTCATCTTGCATTAAGGAAGCTTTATTATACCTACAGTCTTATTTTTAATTATAATAATTATTTTACAATGGGTACCCTGAGTACAGGAGGTCCCTCCTCTCACACTTGACCATAAATAATGTGGCTCATGACACCCATTAAGCAAACCCCAATCCTCCTCAATGCCTACCCCTGGCAACCCCTCCCCCTAAGAGTCACAGTGCAGCAGCACGGTTTTGGGGGTTGGGTTCCAGCCCAGCGATTGTGCTGGACTATGAGCACCTGAGGTTAGAATGGGGGCTTGAACTTTATACACCTGCCTTAAACCTATCACCTACCTGAAGGCCATGTGGACAGTGGTGTGGGCCTCTCTGGCACGGAACCCTGGGGCCCCAACCCCATGTCTGCCAAGGTCCAAAACTGCAGCTATCTGAATGCGCTGCTCCACCACACATCCCCCAGGCTAGTTTTTCCTTGAGATCATTGCTGCCTTGAGCCTCATCTCTGAACAGTCTCAGGCATTGATCTCTCTCTGTCCCAGCCCAACTGCCAGCCCCTTGTGATGGGGGACCTGATCACCCAAGCCCCGACATGAAGAAATGTTCCCTTTTGAAAACCAAGGGAGAAACCAGAGACCTGGAGGCTGCGCTCGGGCCCTGGTGGGTGGGGTATGGGGTTTTCCAGGAAGGCAAACCAGGCACAAATGGCACTCCCAGGGTACATTTTGTGGGTATGTGGGTATGTAGGGCAAAGTCAGTGCAGGTTCAGATGGATGGGCTGGGAGGAGCCCATCATAAGCTAACAAGTGCAATCAAGCCCAAGAGCCACTGCTGTTGGGGTACTTCCTGGAGGAAGCCTGATCTCGTGAGACCTCGGAAGCTCTACGAGAAGAGCAAGAGAATCCTAGGGGGAGAAAGATCTGGGTACCCGGATTACCGGAAGCGCTTGCACCAGATCTTCTGTGAGGAGTCTGATTTATGCCATTTGTCAAGTATATCGCAATCCTTGTGTCATTGTCTGGACACAGGTCCTTCTCCCCTAGTCACAGAATATTGCTGCTTTGCCCCAGGGCTTTGCAGGTCAGATGTTGGGACTAGACTTCAGACCAGAAGCTACAACCAAGGCCAGAATGGAAGCGTGAACAGCACATGCAATATAGCAATTAATCCATGGGCAGCATCTACCAAAACAGTAAGTGGCGAGATATTCCCATGAGCCCTAAATACGGAAGGCTGGGTGCAAATCATAACTAGAAGACCTGAGCAATCTGTGAGGAATTAAGCATAGAGAAACAGTGGATGATCTGACCAACCCGAAAATAGGAAACCCCTGAAATACTCTAGAACCCAAAATACCTTACAAGTGCTAACCAGAAAACACACTGAACCAATTTGAGAAAAGCAAGTGATATATGGTAAGACTGAAAGGGACGGATCATCTAGGCATTATGAACTCTCAAAATTGCAGCGGAAGCTTCCTTCCAAGACAAAGCCATACCGAAAGGGGAGATATCGTTCTGCTCCTTTTTCTCTTTTCTTTATAAGTTTGGGATTTTTCTCCTATCACTTGTTAGATCATTTTTAGGAAATTGGTGTTTCTGAACTTTTAGAAGTTGGTATGGAACTACAGAGCTTTTTTAACCTCTCAAAACTCAGTCTGGTGTGTGTTTGGTCTTCAAAAGCAAGCAAGCTTGCTTGCAGTTCTGAAGGCTAGAAGTTAAAAATCAAGATGTTAGCAAGGTTGGGAGGGCTGTGAGGGAAGGATCTGTTCCAGGCCTCTGTCATCTTATAGATGGTCATCTGCTACCAGTGATTCTTGAAATCATCTTTGTGTGTATCTGTCTCTCTGTCCATATTTCACCTTTTCATAAGGACACCAGTCATTGAATAGGGCCCTAATGATCTCACCTTAATTAATTACATTTGTAGTGACTTACTTCCAAGTAAGGTAACATTTGGAGGTCTGGAGTTTAAGACTTCACCATGTGAATTTTTAGGGAAAACAATTCAACCCATATGTATTTTTTCTACTTAGACATCTGAATTTAAGAACAGTTAAGATTGTCAAAGCTCTTGAAACTCTTCTCCAGGATAGGGGGCAAACTGGATTTGAATCCTATTACTGGCAATTGCTAGCTAATGTGTGTGATATTAAGCAAGTTGCCTATCCTTTCTATGCCTTAGTTTTCATATCTATAAAATTATATATATATAAAATACCTACTGAATAGGAATGTTGTAAATATTAAGTGACTATATGAAAATACACTTAGACTAATAGCAGCTTCAATTTATAAAACAATCTGTATGATTTTCCCCCTTATTCAGGAGTAGCAATGCTTGGCATGAAACAGGCGATCTCACTGAATATAGTTACCAAATAAAATACAAGTATATAGAGATGTACAATTTTAAACTTTCTTACTGATGACAAACAAAGCGTCTGCTATTCATAATGGTTTTTAAAGAGTATTCATTTGGCTGATGGGAACACAGTGCTAAAGAAACACTGTCTTGAATTCTAAGGCAATTAGCTTCACTCATTATCTCCATGGTTTAACTAATTGAGTGAATCAAATACAGATCAATTGGTATAGATATCAACCATTGAATACACCAAAATCTTTTAAAAAATAAAGCAACTTTTCATTTTTTATAGTAATTTCATCTCAGCGTTATTTTACAAAAAGAGAAAATATCCTTAATTTTTAAAGAAGAAAAAACTAACTAGAAACACATTAATTTGATTGCAGGAGCTAAAATTTCAGTTGAATGCACAATTTCTTTGTAATTGCAAGCACTGTGGTATAGTTGGGGCCACGATGCCTTTTCTTCTAACTGATCATCTTCCTATAGTATAACCATATTTTGATGATCAATCTGTAGCTAAAGGAAGAGTGATTCATATTGTTAAAGTAATAGAAATATTGTGTGTGTAGCAAATTGGAGCTTTCGTTACAGATACTATCATAATTGATCATTTTAGCTATTGGTTAAGGTAACTTAAATATAACCTGTAATTTCCACAACTTAACTCAATGGAGTATCTTTAGTTTTAATTAAATGGATGCCAATATAAAAATCTAGAGAAAATGTACAAATAAAAACAATAATTTAATTTTAAGTACTGTATTAGTTTCTTATTGTTGTGTAACAAATCACCCAGAATTTAGCAGT